GTTCCTGGATCTGCTGCCCAGCAGGGACGGTCAGTGACCACTCAAGGCTCGGATCTGGGGAGGTGCGTGATGCAAGACTCCCCTGCACAGTGTGACCCGGATCCGAGGAGACATGGCCACTGCACCCTCCTTCCTTCTCCTACATGCCAGGCGCCTGCTGGGTGGCACCAACCCACCCCTGCTCCTGGGCCCACATGTGAGGAGGAGGCAGCGAGCACAGGCTGGGCAGAGAAGCGGGCAGGGGGAGGCAGAGAGGGTGACTGAGCCAAGGCCTAGAGGCTGAGCAGGAGTGGAGGGTGGGGCAGCGGGGACAGTGCAAAGGCCCTGGGGCAGGGGCGGGTTGCCGAGCCAGCAGTGAGCAGAACAGGAGGGTGGCCTGGCAGGAGGCAGGGAGATGAGAACTGCTCTTGCTGGGGGTATGCTCTGACGGGGGAGCGGGGGCCCTGCAGGTGGACAGGATGCGGGTGTGGGCGCAGGTTGGCACCTCCTCACTCTGCTCACCCCTGATGGCCAGGTGGCCAGATGCCCAACATGCCCGGCAGGAAGCTGCGGGGCTGACAAGCCCCTGTGGGGCGGCACCCAGAGCCTGGGCCTCGGAAACCACTCACAGGGGCTGGTCCCCTGCTGGGCAGACGCCCCTCGGAGTCCACAGCTGAGCTCTCAGTCCAGGGGCACCTGGAAGGCCCTGGGCTTTGACACCATCTCCCTGGTGCCAGGACGTGCATGTCCCAAACTGTTCCTCCTCAAACAGGCACCCACCCCTCGGCTCCACCCGCACGGGCCCCCAGAGCAGAAAGTGGCTCTCAGAAACCACCCCTGCAACTGAGAGCACAGCCAGGAGCGCAGCAGGCGGTGGGTGCGGGAGGAGGGCTGTTCCTCCCCTGCATTATTGATCAGGGGCAGGAGCACCAGGGAAGAGAGGAGGCAGCTCCCCAGTGGGTGCGGCACCTGCCCTGCCTGCCGGCTGCCGCTGAGAGGAGAGGCCCCTCCTGCCGCAGGCGCCGGCAGGACCCTGACCTCCCTGCCCCCCTCTACCTGCAATTCTTGCCTGTTTGGCGGCAGGGAAGACGGGCTGAAATTTCATCCGGTGACAGCCAGGACCCCTGGCTCCACCCTGGTCCCCGGCTCTCTCTGGGTCTCCTGGATGCTGCCCCAGGTAAAACCGTGGGGTCTGGGTGGGCTCACGCACCCTCAGAGAGTGCTCTGGGTGCATGGGACGAAGGCGGCCTCGGGCAGGCGTGAGCGGGAGCTGAGCCTGGAGAATGGCCGGGCCGCACCTGCTCCCGGCCGGCACCCCGAGAGCCCCAGGTTGCCCTTTCTGGGGTTTGGGGCACAGTCGTGGGCTGTCGTTGTGGGTTTCCCTTTCTAGCTGGGGCTGGCTTACCCAAGATGAGTCTGTGTTCCCAGGCGAGCACCTGCGGGGGGCGGGGAGGCACCAGGGCCTGGGCCGCGTGGCCGTCCTCTCCCTCGTGTGCCAGGCGCTGGGGGGGACAAGGCCCAGCCGCCGGCCTCCAGGGTTCACAAGGGCCCTGCTCTGGGTCCAGCAGTGACAGCAGCCACAGCGTCAGGAGGGGCCCAGGCCTCCGCCTCTGAGCTGCTGTCCTGATGGGGCCACCGCGGGGCACGGGCAGGGGGCTTGGGATGGGGCTGAACTTCAGGGGCATTTAGGGATCTGGAGGGCAGGGGCGGGCAAGGGCGGCTGCTGACCGCCAGGCGGGTGTTTGCAGAGACGACGCGTGCGCTGGTTTCCCTAACCCCATCCTCTCAGGGCCCGTGACGATTCCCTGGCAGAACACAGGGCAGGCGACCCCTGCTCGTGCCACCTGCAGAAAGGTGCAGCCAGCACCCGCCTGCACCTGCCTCGGCAGCTCACCTGTGGCAAGAGCCACAGAAATGTGAGGTCGGCCCCAAGGCTGACCTGCTGCTCACTGAGCTGTTTCATTTCTGACTTGTCTCGGAAAATTCTGGTACGAGGCTCAGATCCCTGCCCAGCTGGCGGAGTCTTTATCCCACAGTCCACGGTGTGACCGGGGGGTCCTGCCCACTGGGGGTCCTCCTGGGAGCACCTTGGGTGAGGTCCACATGCTCCTGCTTGGCCCCCAGCGTGGGAGCCCGGGTCCCCTGGGGCAGCCCCTTCATTCTGGGCCAGTTGGGATGCCGGGAGTCCTCCCCTCGCACCTACGGGGTCTGGATGCCCAAGTGGAGGCCGCCGGGCCGGCCCAACCCCCAGGGCAGCAGGAAAGGCCCCCCCGGGGCATTTGCAGGGTTGTAGCCGGAGCCCGCTGCTTCCATCACGGTGAAATCCCACGTCCCCCGAAGCTTCGGATGAGTCCTGACGGCCCCACGCTGTCTGTCCCAGCCCAGTCTTGGCGGGGCAGCAGGGCAAAGGGAAACGATCAGTTCCCGCCGGCCAGGCCGAGCGGGAAATGGTGGAAATCTCTTGATAATGGACTAGAGTAACCAGAACCAGCACCGAGACACCTGCTCAGGGGCCTGAGTCCCAGAATCCCCCGGCCACCAACCTCGGCCGCCCTGCCCAGCTCTGGCGCCTGTTTTGTCCATGGCAGAACCAGAAATCGAGACAGGGTGTGGAGATGGCTCGGAGCCCACCGACGCTGCCAGGGCCATCTGGCCAGTGCCTGGGGGTCCTCGGGCACCGGGCACCTGGGCAGAGACACAGGGGACCAATCAGGGCTAATGTGACCGCAGTTGTCACACAGACCTGCCACCTCTGCGCCCCAGGCCCTCCCCACAGCCCTGGCGACAGCCCCGCTCCATTACCGCTCTCGCCTAATTAGGGTAATTAAAATGAAAGTAATCAAAGTCATGGGAAACCCGTTAACGCACTGTCACCGCTGCAGTGACCGCACGGGCGCTGTGCCTTTGCGAACGTCCAGGAGCTAAAGAGCCAGGCGGGGTCAGACAGGCAGGCCACCCGCTGACCCCGGGGCCCCGACTCCCCCCTGCCCACAGCCCAGGGGCCAGAAGGACACATCCCAGGAGGCCCAGGCACCGAGGAGGACATCAGAGACACTGTGCCCCGCTCCCGGGGCCCCACACCCCCAGCAGGTGCTCCCCGAATTCCCTGAGCCCCGCAGCAGAGCCGGCGCTGGCCTGGCATCCCGGCTCCCCGGCCTCATGAATTGGGAGGGGCCCTTGCCCCTGGCCTGGCCTCCACTGCGCCCACCCCAGGGCAGCTGCCTCCCTCCAGCCACCCCCGCCCCTCCCCTTGACAGTCAGGACACCAGGGCCAGCAGGCTCAGGACTAGGACAGGCTGCCAGGGCTGAAGGAGCAGGACGTGCAGAGAAGGGTCTGGTCCCACCCGCCCGGCGCAGGGCGCAGCCTGTGGGCATGAGGACCAGGGCCAGGGGTGGGGGCAGACCCCAGGAGCCCAGGCGGATGGGGGTCCTCGGGAAGAGGGGCGCAGCTGGGTGGCGAAGGGCCCCCAGAGAAGCCGAGGACGAGTTCTGGGTACAAATACGGAGCCCAAGTGTGCTGCCGTCCTCCCCTGTGGGAGGAAGGAGGCCGGGGGCTCCTGGGCAGGGCCGAGGGGCAGCCCTGGGGGGCAGCTCCACCCTGGCAGCCACCCCTGAGCTCCAGTTCTCTGCTCTGCGGCGCCCTAGGAAGCGGCAGGCCTGGGCCGGGGACAGGGGGTGGGACCTCGGTCAGCGCGTCTGGCCACAGGGGGGCGCGCTGAGCACCAGGCAACTGCAGGTGTTGACGCTGTCCCGGGAGACGGAAGATCTGCCACCCCCAACCCACAGCGGCGTCTCTGCGGAGCCACCGTGCCCAACACCCTCTGTCCCCAGCCCACGAGGGCCCTGGGGTCACCAGGGCCTTGCCCTTCCGCAGCGCACAGCCGGCTCAGCCTCCAAGCCGCAGGCGAGTGTGCGTGTGTCTGCATGCGTGTGCGTGCACGTGTCTGCATGTGTGTGCGTGTGCGTATGTGTCTGCTTGTGTGTGTGCATGTGTCTGCATGTGTGTGCGTGAGTATGTGTCTGCGTGTGCGTGTGTGCATGTGTCTGCATGTGTGTGCGTGTGCGTATGTGTCTGCATGTGTGTGTGCGTGTGTCTGCATGTGTGCGTGTGTATGTGTCTGCATGTGTGTGCGTGTGTGCATGTGTCTGCATATGTGCGTGTGCGTGTGTGTGTCTGCATGTGTATGTGTATGCGTGCACGTGTCTGCATGCGGGTGTCTGCGTGTCTGCGTGCGTGTGTGTGCACGTGTCTGCATGTGTGTGCATGTGCATGTGTATGTGTCTGCATGTGTGTGCGTGTGTCCGCGTGCCTGTGTGTGTGCGAGTCAGAGAGAGACTGGGGGTCGCTGCTTGTTGGGACCTGGAGAGAAACGGCTGTGAGTAGTTAGTTCTCCAGGTGAGAAGCTTTGGGGAGGGGAGAGGGGCGTGTCAGGGGCTGGTCCTGGAACCCCAATCTCAGAACCGAGCCCCATGGCTTGGGCCAGCGTGGCCCCCACCCCACCCAAAGGCCAGGCAGGTGCGCTGCCCCAGCCCCGCCTTGCCCAGGTATGAGCGGGTGGCAGGGATGTGGCCCTAGGAGCGCTGAGAAGGCTGCCCGCATTGACCAGGGGTTCAGCCGCCCTGGGGGGCCCTGTGCCGGGAGGGGCTGGGTGGGGCCAGGGGTGCCGTCCTGGGGCCGACCCCGCAGTCCCACATGGGAGCTCAGGAGTCAGGTGTCCTTAGAGAGGACTGAGCAGCGTAGGGCCCTGTCCCATTCTGGGGAGGAGGAAACTGAGGCCTGGTGGGCTGGGAGTCGGCCTGGCAGGCCCTGGCAGACCCCAGCCCATGGAGATCACCTCCTGAGGGGACCGCAGTGCCCTCCAGGCTGACCCCCAGTTTGCACTCAGCAGGCTCTGCACCAACCCTGGTGCCTCAGTAGGGCTGGCCACCCCCACCCCCGCACCCCACCCCCAACCACTAACCACACTCCTCCTCCCCCAGGTGCTGAGAGGACTGGACACGGGCCCACTGGGGCCACCGGCATGATGGCAGCCCAGGAGCTCGTGGCCTGCCTCTGCCGGGAGGGAGACCAGCACCTGGCCCTGGGGGAGCCCCCCGTGGCCACCGCCTTCTACCTGGCCGCGTTCAGCTGCCACGCGCCCTCGGCCGTGCGGAGCGTGCGAGCTGCCCTGGCCGAGGCTCGGGGGGCGCCCGTGGTGGCCACCCTGGAAGCCTGGTGCCGTGGGGACGGCCAGATTCCCAGCATCCACTGGGACGGCATGGCGGTGGTCTCCCTGACAGGGACCCTGGCCTCGGCCTTCCTCGGCGCCCTCTGCCCAGACCACCCGGCCGCCGTGCTGCACTTGCTGGCGGGGCTGCTGGCCCGCGGGCACCACGAGGAAGTGGCGCGGCGCTGCGGCTCCCTGCTGGACGCCCAGTCCCAGCACGTCCTGGCCCTGCGGCTGACCCGGGCCCTGGCCTGGGTGCTGTCCGGGACGCGGGCGGCCGACGGCGTGGCCGCCTACCTCCAGGCCTTCGCCTCCGGCGCCGAGCAGACTGTGGCCTTCATCCGCACCCACCAGCAGCCCTACCTGCCCGTGCTGGTCGGCGCCCTCCGGGACTACCTCTCGGGGCACGCCGAGGCTGGGGACGGCGCCGGCCAGTGGGAGACCGACAGCCGGAGGCTCCTGGAGGCCCTGGACCCCGGGGGCACCCGGAGTGACACGCTGTCACCCGAAGCTCTGCTCCACGACGGCAGGTATGAGGACTGCCTGGCAGCGTGCAGCCGGGCGCTTGAACGCCGCCCCAGCAGCAGCAAACCCCAAGGTAGGAGAGCGACGCACGCCCCCGTAGTGGCCAGGGCGGAAGCCTCTCCGGCACTTCCTTCACCGCACGCCAAGTCCTTCCTGTGGTGGGCAGGGGATGCGCCGGGGCTGACACCACAGTGACAAGACAGGCAGGCCCCTGCTGGTTCGGAACACCCAGGAAAAATCTGTGCTTTGAAAACGGGAACACGCAGGTCCTGCTCCAGCCGGTGGTCAGGGAAGGCTTCTCAGAGGAGGTGTCATTTGAGCTGAGCCTGAAACACGCCAGGCAGCAGAAGCAGCGTGTGCCAAGCCCTTGGGGAAAAAGAGTGGGGGGGGTCCAGGCCATGGGGCGTGTTGGTGGGGGCTGGTGGCCAGGTCTAGGGTGACGATTCAGGACGGAGACAAAGGGGTTCGGATCGGGGGAGAGTTGGGGGAAACGGTGGGTCTGAGTCAGGACGGATCGTGGGTGGTGCCACGTGCAGAGAGAGGCACTGAGTCAGGAATGACATCAAGGGTTCTCTGTGGCCTGGACTGCAGGGGGGCAGACAGGGATGGGGTGTCGGGAGCTGTAGACACCCCCAGTGTGAGTCCCTTCTGTTCCCCTCTGGCCCCTCCCTCAGGGAGCACTCGGGGGGGGGGCGGCGAGGTGCACACGGCCCGGCTGCCACCTGCACCTGCCAGCTCCCCGCGCGCACGCGGCAGGAGCGGCTGCGCCCACCCCTGGGGCTGCTGCGCAGATTCAGTGAAAACGTGTGGTGCCAGCCACTTTATAAAATGTCCCTTGGGCCAATGAAAC